ATATATATATATATATATATATATATATATATAAAGCTGAAAGCAAGATTCCTGAAGAGAACTGAAGGCAAAGGGTGGACACAATAAATACTGAGAAATGTGATATTATACTTAATTTGATTGAAAGAGAATTGAATTGGAACACTGACAATAGTCATTCAGCAAGATGTAGACATTTAACACAACTACAACTTATCGTTAATTCATGAATTCAAACACTGTTTATTTATTCATTTGCTGTTATGAACAGTATTATATAAAAACCTACGGTGATAAATTTAAGCTTCAGTAAGGTCTGCACATAAGCAACAGCAGAAAACAAAATCCATTCAATATTGCATTGACACGCTGATGTATAATCCTAACGTCCTTTACTGTGTACAAAACAGTGGTTAAATAGTGGATCATTTCCTTCCTGTTCAGAAAAGAGCACTTTAATAATGAGGATTAATACAAGCTAAATGCACTCAAGCCAGTTCATATACCGAACAAGCTTTTGTCTGTCTGCTTTGGGGCAAATTTATCCATCAGTGATTGTATGGGGCAAGTGCTTATGTTGTGAGAGGCAGAATGGAAGTGACCTACTTCTTTTGTGTTCTTACTTTATGTTTCCTAAGAAAAGCCTTTGTTTCACATCAGTCCTTCATTCCACTGCATTCAGTCTCTGATTGAACCACAATGGCACGAGTCTGCCCATCCTAATGCATGCCACAGCACCGACACAAAGAGCCACAGCGCAGCACTGGAGTAAACAGATGGTATTGTCTGAAACACTTTGGCATACCTCAGCTCACAAATCCAATCATTATGACCACTGATGTCATTTCATAAAGTTGGCCAGCTCACGGAAAACAAACTGGGCAACTATTTAAAAGAAAAAGATGAACTGAAAATGAAAAATCTGCAGATGAAAAAGATATTACAGGAACTGGTGAAGGGGGTTAAGAGGATATATTCAGTCACTCAGTAAAAGCAGATATATGTCCTCTTGGCTGTGGTGGTGTGTAGTGTGATAAATCCACAGTGGAAATGGATTTATGGACAGGGATTATGTCGTGTTTGTAATCCCAACAAGGGTTGTGGGTTAAAAAAAAAACCCTACTGTGCAATAATGGGGTCAGGTCAAGCCCCCGAAACACAGTAGGGGTAGGGGGTATAAACATGCCAATATGTGTTGTTGCCAGTGTTACTGTCATGGTAATGCATATGTATATTCTCTAGCCAGTTTATTAGAAATGCTTACCTTGTAGCTATTTTTTGGTGGTGGACCGCTCTCAATTTAGCAGTGACACTTACAGTACAGTGCAAAAACCAGAGACCACCCTTCATTTATTTCATCTCCACTCAAGTTTTATGCTGGATCTTTTTTTGTTTTGGATTTTTTACCACAATGCTGAAATGTGGTAACAAGCAACTAAACTAGTTTTATTTAACTAAAAAAACTACATTGATTGAAAGAATCATTCATTTGAAGTATTTATTTAGATTGAATAAAACTAGTTAATATACTTGTTACCACATGAAGTAATTTTTTTAGGTAGATCTGACAAATCAATTTTTAAGGTGTGCTATTGTTTATTGTTATTGCAAGATATGTTTTTAGTCACTTTTGTGCAAATTATAAACATGACATGTCTATTAAATGTGTATTTGCATTTTAGAAATAGAGAGTGAAGTTATGCTGTGAATACAGTGCAAAACATAGTGGACAAATATGTTCAATGATATTGTTTTTTGAAAACATATTTATAGATCTGATAAAAGTTTGTTGTTTCTTTCAAATGTAAATGTTCTGGCTATTGTGTTACATTACTTTTACAGTTGTTATGCAAGAAAACATCCAGTCCAGATGACTATGGAGTCACAGTATAAAGTTTCTATTTTGCTGCTATTTGCTGTTTATTTTGTGAATACTGTGAAAGTAAATAATATCCAGTAATGTCTTCCAGAAAAAATCCAGTCTTTTAAACATATTTTGATCGCCAGTTTTGGAAACTCATGTTTTTTCCCTTTGTTTTTCTTTGATTTTCCTCTACCTTATGCAAGTGGATTATCTCATATCTAATCTCCTCAGAAACATCTCCTGAATAATGATAAACTTAATCTCAATTTTGTGGGAATTAAAGTAATGAAGGGTGATTTCTGACTTTAGTGCAGTACTATACATGTGTAAAGATGCCAGCATGCCTGATTCACTCATACACCACTACCGTGTCAGTGTCACTGCAGTGTCAGGAAAGATTCACAACCCAAATAATATCAGGCGGTCCTGTGGTGAGAAACTGACCAGTGGTGAATGGGAGGGAACAGATTATGCAGCAACTGTAAACCTATTCAATGAACCTATAGGGTATGTGAATACAAAGAAGATGTTTCTAACAAAGTCTGGGCACATTGGGCTCGTTGAATCAAAGTTTTTCATAACATTAAAGACATTTTGATCTAAAAGCTTTGGCTCTGTGGTGTAACTAGGATCTTATGGGCACCACTGCAAAAAATGAACGCCCCTTCACCCCATATGAAAATTAATTGCAATGAATAAAAAAATCACAATGTAATTTTCTTCCTTACTTGTTATTGTTTTGTGTCAAACAAGTTAAGGCTCCCAAAGTATGCAACTCAATCCACTAGCAATTTAACCTCTAATCTAACCTACAGATTTATGCTAGACTACCTAAGATTTTGAAAATGTAAATAATGTATACATAATAGGGATGAACTAATACACCATACTGCGTTGAGAAATGAGTATTCACTTAAATGATATTTAATTATTAAGCTTTGTCACTTGTCTGTAAAGCACTTTGAGCTGCCATCAGTATGAGAAGTGCCCTATAAATGAAAATTCTTCTTCTTCTTCTTCTTCTTTATTATTATTATTAGATTAGTGCATTGCATCGTATCATAACATTGCGTCATGACTACACATTTAAAAATTGTGGTTCTTTAAGGGTTTTTTAGTAAAGAAAATGGTTCTATATGGAACACTTAAAGAAACCTTTGCATTGTGAAAGCGTTCTTCAGATTGATGGAGAATGTGCTGTACATGGTACAAATAGGGTTCTTCTATTGTTACAATGTCAAACTTGTTACAATAGAAGAACCCTTAAGGGTGCTATATATAGAACCCTCTTCAAAAAGGTTCTATGTAGAACCATCTACAGCGCATTCTCCATCAATCTGAAGAATGCTTTCACAATGCAAAGAACCCTCTTGCAAAGGGTTCTTTAAGTGCTCTTTGTTCTATATAGAGCCATTTTTAGATTGAGCCACCTTTACTAAAGAATCCTTGAAGAAAAACCATTTTTAAGTGTGTAGCATAGTAGCTTGTGGCTACAGTGTTATGCTGGGAAACTATAAATCACAACTTTTGTTTCAAATATTGTACTTTTGCAAAGTTGAATACTCTAATAAACAGATGTTTGCTACACACTATATATATATATATATCAGCCACTATATTTTTGCTGTATCAAATAATGTATCGAATCGAGACACTGTTGTATTATTGTATTATTAAATCCAATTCTGAATTTTGTGAATTGTTACATGCTCAATATATCATGTTGCAGATTGAGTCCATTGGGTCCCATTGGATCCATTCGAAAGCAGTTATCATGGATGAGATGCATCATGAATAAGAGGGAGATACATAGACATAATTGCTGTCTGCGTAGTGTTATTGAAGCTAACTGCTAAAGTATGTTGAGTCATGAATGCACAACTGTTGTTGGCATCTACAGTATATTAAGGATCCAGTAAAGTTTTCAGGGGGCCTGGTCGCATTGGGGGCCGCCCTGTGGTCCCCAAGGAGTTTGACTCCTGCTCCCCCCCTCGAACCTCTCTGGGGATTTACACCACTGCTTATGCTTCTGTGTTTGAAATCTGTTTTGTAATAGTGTATTAATGAAATTGCATGATTTTTGTATACATTTATGTACAAAACAGAAATCAAGATTTGCTTTTAAATCCCTCAACAAGTGCTTTTCAACAAGGAGTTCTTCAAGCCTGTTGGACAAGTGTCCCAGGTGGCTGCTTGAGAGAAGGCTAAAGCCACACTAAAGCAAATTGGGGGGGTGTGGGGGGGGGGTGCTTTAAAGTTTTGATATGTTTAACACTATTTTTCTCAATTCATGATTCCACGTCTCATAGTTTTGGTGCCTTCACTGCTTCCATGTGTAAAACAGGGAAAGTAAGGATACCTTGAGTCCAAAGTGTGTCCAAACCTCTGACTGGCGTTTCTATATAAGGTATACTGTAGTCGAGTACTACATATCAGATTCATCATAGTCCTTAGAATATATGTAACTATCTAAAACACGCAGCTCATTTGGTTGATGATCAGTGAATTATCCCACCTTCCCATCAGTAGGAGCAGATCTGTGTCAGAGACGTAGTGCAGCACTAACATATGGCGTTATCGCTTTGGACCAATGGGCGGCTGCGGCTAACAGGTTGTTGGGCTGACGTCACGTGCGCGGGGAGGAGGGGCTGGCGCACGGACCGAAGGCTGCGTTTGCTGTATATGTGTGTGTACGTGTGTGTATATGCGTGTGAGAGAGGTCGGGGGTCCGCAGAACAGCTCCGGGGGTGAGGGACTACCATTATGGGGAGGAAGGAGCGCGAGCCGGTGGAGTGGACGCAACGACCGCTGGAGAGGGTCCGCATGGGCGGAGGACGCGTCGAGCATCGCTAAGGTGTTTTTTTTAAACCCTCCTTACAGCGTAGTAGAGCGGAGACCCGGGCGGGATTTGCGAGGAGATTTATTGCCTGCGTGGTTTGAAGACGCGGTTCCAGCCGTTTCCTCAAACGAAGGACGCCACCTCGCAGCCAGGGGATGTAAACGAGCACAGGTCTGAGGATTTACGGTACACCGCGGTATACTGACGCGCTCTCCATGGCGCTGTCCTCGTCCCACGGCATATCAGGCCACGCCGGGCCGTTGCGAACGCGAGGCCAGCGGCTTTGAAGCGCGTTCGCGTTCGTCTCTCGCTTTTTCCATGTCCGCCTTCTGCCTCGACCTGCACTCGGCGCCGTCGAGCGCCTCCACGCTTTCAGCACCACGGGAGCTGGACAGCGACCGCATGGAGCCCTCGCTGGACTCCAGCCTGCAGGGCCCTCCTCCAGAATCGGGAGGGCTCGAGGCTCCTTCGCTGCTGCGCGCGCCCGCGGGAGGCCTGGGCACGGCGCTCGAGGAGGAGCTGGCCATGCTCACATGCGAACGCGAGTGCGAGCAGGAGGAGGACGCGGCGGAGCTGTCCGCCGCCGAGGCGCCGCTGGAGCAAGACGTCGACCTGCTGGCGCTCTTCCGACAAAAAGAGAGGGACTTGGTCCTGGCTGCTAAACTCGGCAAAGCACTACTTGAACGAAACCAAGACCTCACCAAGCAATATGAGAAAATGAACAAGGACCTGAACGAGAAGCTAGAGGTAAACACGAGTTACAGAGCTGCACTTCTGTGTATATATATACTGTTTCAGGAGAAGAGGGCCGTGATTTGATCATATAACATTGCCAGCTTTTAGCACTTCAAAGTGGGACTCCACCACCTTTTCAAAATTTCTGTTTAACCCAGGGGTTGAGATGTAAAGTCATTCAGAGTGGTTGATGTGAAATGATTCATTTGCAGAGAAGCTTACCGACTCAGATTTCTTTACAGTGGTGGTGATAGGAACCAGGACTTCTGATGTTTACAATGAATATATGGCCGTTTTATTTGCTATCCAAAACCAACAGTGAACCTACACGTGTCTTCTGAGTTTTTTATGTAACGCTTATAATAGAACAATAGGTCAATCGGAAGAAATAAGTTTTCTTTGGGGTCTATTTTGCCATAGAACATCCTTCATGTATCCCTCCACCATGAATGTGTTAAAATAGCATGATTAAAAGAAGTTTTAGATCAAAACTTTATCACAAAACTACCGTAAAACAGTGTCTCAGACATCTGGCAGTGTATTCATAAGCATTTCAGGTAATAAGGTTCTGTGAGGCAGCTTTGAGAGGTGTTAATCTCCTCAGACATCTGGTTCCTATCATTGCCACTGTGAGCAGTTCTAGCTCTGTAAGCTTCTCTAGGACGGATCATTTCACCCCAAACCACTCTGAATAGTTTTGTTGACCTGGTAACCATTTATTTATCCATAAATTTTGAAATGTTGGTGGAGTCCCACTTTAATGTGTGGATGTCACATTCAGCTCTAATGGGTAGGCAAAGCTGCACTGAATGTTTATCAGTGCTTTCAAAGCCTTTTGTACGTATGTTATCCACTGTGTTCTTGGATTAACAAGAAAGCACTCACTGATTAAACCCAATGAGGTCCTCAATGAGGTGCTGCCCTAAGAACCGCTGCAATAAAGAACCATATATTCTAATATAATTTAGGTAACCAAAAGCAGTTACTTTATGGCATCGTTCCAAAGAACAATTTAAAACTGTATTCTTTGATTGACAAAAAAACATTCACTTATTAAGCCCAATGAGATCTCTATTAGTAAACATACTCTTACCACCTGCACTGACCTCTCTTAGTAGTCTGGGGTATGGCAGTCACCTTCATATTTACATTCTACAACCATGGCCTTCATTCAGTCTTAAAAATAAAGGTTCCTAAATGGTTCTTCACTGAGATGCATGGTTCTTGGAAAAGCTATGTTACTGAAAATGGTTCTTGAAACCAGCAGTGGCTCTCAAAGCAGTCCTCAGGGTCCCCACATGTTTGCTGTATCCCATCTCACAACACATAGGGATAGAGCAAAATGTGGACTATCTAGGCAGCCCTGAGGATGAGTTTGAGAACTACTGCTCTAAACAACGACCCATTCGAATGTTATTTATGGAACAAAAAGTGGTTCTTCTTTGGGATTGTTCCAGAGAACCTTGTTCGGCACCGTTGTTTTTAAAACTGTGTTCTGTGATGAACAAGAACGTACTCACTAATTAAATCCAGAGATGTTCAGCATACTCCATTAGTAAACATACAGTGATACTCTTCAAGTACAAGAGTGCTGCCACCTACACTGACCTCTCTAAGTAGTCCAGAGTACAGCAGTCACTATCATATTTATATGCTACAATCAAGGCCTTCATACACATTTAAAAATAAAAGTTCTTAAATGGTACATTGTGTAGATTATTCAAAAATGGTTCCAGGAAAAACAAAACATTTATTGTTATAGAATATTTACATTACATGGAGGTTCTTTAAACCTTAACAGTGTTCTTCACACTCAGAAATTACCAAAAAAGTTAAAGAACCATCTAAAGATTCTTTAGGGAACTAAAAGTGGTTCTTCTATTGCATCACTCCAAAGGACCTCAGTTGGAATTTATTTTTAAGAGTGTACTCTGTTGTTCAAAGGCAATTCCACTTTTTTTTTTTCACAATTTTACAAAAAAAATGTAAACAAAGTCATTCAGAGTGGTTTGATGTGAAATGCTCCATTCTTGAGAAACTTAGAGTCAGAAATTGTTCATAGAGGTGTTGAAAGGAAGCAGATATCTTAACAGTTTAATGCCATACAGAAAGTTATTACATGAAGTGGTGATGAATATGTTGCCTGATTCCTAAAACATAGTTTTTTTTTGTTTTAATATAAAGTTTGTAGCCTAAATAAACAGTCATGGTGAAGAGGTACATGCAGGGTACTCTAATACAAAATAGCACCCAAAATTTGGGTTCACTGGTTGTTTTGGATAGTAAATAAAATGGTTATATTTGCATTGTAGACATCATAACCCCTGCTTTTTATCACCACTATTGCAAAGAAATCAAAGTCAGTAAGTTTATATATTAAACCAATTTCATATCTGTATACTTCAGTTAAGACTTTCATAAAAGTACATTTAAATGTAAACCAGATCTTCACATTAATAATCTTTTATGCAAAGCCATGTTCAGCATGTGATCTGCCTTGAAGAAAGAGAATCAGGATTGTGTACTGCAAGCCCAATTTAGCTGCTACAGACCAATCAAGCAGCCAAACAAAGGCGAATTATCCACGATACAGTAAGCATGGCAGTTATTTTGGCAGCTATCTGGTCATCCAAACCCTCTTCACTCAGCACGTGGTGTGCTGTAGAACAAAGCCTAATCCGCAGTCCTGTTCCAGGGGCAACTGTGCCCACATCTGCTGCCGATCTGCTCCGTGGTGTCACACCCTCTCCTCTCTCCCTCCGCATCTGCTCCCAGCTCTTCTCTCAAGCTGGGGGTCAGCAGTAGAGATGGACTCAGAACATACACAGCCGTGGAGCTTCTGTCTGAGGTTGAACTCTCTCTCTCAATCATATGGAACCAACTGACCTTTATAAAAATGACACAACAAAGCTAATGTGTTTTGGGACCCGTCATCATTCTGAAGGCCAATAAAGGTTCTTTAAAGGTTCTTGGCTTGGACGTATCTAGCAAAAACCTTTCCATTATGTTCTTTAAAGTTAAAAAGTTCTTGTACGCCACATTTAAAAAAAAACTGTACCACCAAGAATTTCATCAGTCAGCTCTCCTGTTATGTTCCAGGTCAAACTGAGTTTAAAAGTTTAAAAATACAGGAAAAATAATTTTTGGAGCATGAAACTTTTTCTGTTGGACCCAGAACAGAAGAGATGTTTTGATATTTTCACAGTTTAAAAAAATTATATTTTAATGAAAAACGAGTGAATTAAGGGAATGAGTAAACCATGATCTACAGTGGAAAAACTTGAATACATTAAATATGATTAAATTGATATTAATTGAGCTAAAGATAATGTTTATGGAAAAAAATATATTTTTAATCTACTTTCAGATGTTTAAACATGCATCGGGCCAATTTAACTCAGGAACATTATTGCTGTTCCTTGCAGTGGAGCATAACAGGAGGGTTAAAAAGCTCTTCATGGAACCAGAAGTGGTTCTTCTGTGGCTCCAAAGAAGCCTTATTGGCTCCTTTATTTTGAGACTGCAGTTGACCCGGTTGGGTTGTGCCTTGCTCACTTCTTTGGCATAAGCTTCTGCCCGCACGTCCTAATCTGTGCCACAGTGCTTACTGTAAGCATACTAATTCCCATGGGTGCTTTCAGCTCTTTCCATTAAACAAGGGTGGACCACAAAAGACAGCTGCCTTTATGGTATCCCTGATTAGTTCTCCAGGAGTTTAACTGAATGATTTGCATTAATATTTCATTATTCACAGAACCTGGAATGTTGGCCAACTATTAATTGTATAAAACTGTTATCTTGACAAATAATAATCATAATGACAAAGTGATAGTTTGGCAAAAGAATCTTCATGCTTCTTTCATTTTGCTTTACTTCTTTAAGTCTGCACTGGAACTATGTACTTGCATCAATAAGTGCAGAGTATCACATCAGTGTGTTTGTTAGTCAGAGGACACTTTAAAAGAGTTCATAACAGGACTATATATATATATATATATATATATATATATATACACACACACACACACACACACACACACACATATATACATATATATATATATATGTATATATATATATATGTGTGTGTATGTGTATATGTGTGTGTGTGTCATGTCACAGAGGTACACCTTTAGATGTAGAAGGTTTTTCCTAGGTTTAAAGAAGATCTAGCTAGCTATTGCTAATAAAGCCTGAGGAAGACTGGCAGTATCTTACATTATCACAGGTAGCCTGCTTAGTTTACCTCACTTATTACATCTTTGACAGTCCAGAACACTACACTCTCAGAAATAAAACTATGAAACTGTCACTGGGGCAGTACCCCTCTGGTCACTGGGGTGGTACATCTAGTACATTTAGTCAGGGAACATCATTTTACCATAATCCATTGAAATTATAATTTTCTGAAAAGTTGTATTGTCTCCACACACCCCGTCTCATCCCCAGACTTTTTATTTTGTTGTTCTGTTTTAAAACATTAGGTTATGAAAAGGTACAAATATGTACTTTTTACCTGGAAAAAAATACTTATTTAAGGTACACAATTGGACCTTAAAACCACTGTTGTACCTTTGAGGGTAGATGTACATTGTTTGTACCTTAATGAACGAGAAATGTACCTGCACAGAACCTTTATTTTTAACAGTGTAGAACAGCTAAAGGTCTGGGTGTAGGGAAGTGAAGATGTCATGGAAAATATGGATTTAAAGCAATGATTCTCTCTGTTCAAGCTGTAGTTATTTTACTATATATATATATATATATATATATATATATATATATATATATATATATATATATATATATGGTTTTAAAAATATATATTTTTGGTCAAATTGAACAACCACAAGCAAAGCCCAGATGTGTTGAGAGCAAATTCTTGGGAGTAATGATTCTTCATCTTTCAAATGTTAAAGAGTACACAAAAGTCTACACCTTTGCTATATGTAGAGCACTCAAATAACCATTTGAATGTATAAGTGATTCTTTGCATGTTAAATGGTTTTTCTCTATGATGGAAGGCAATGATGATTTTTGGTACTACATAGAAGACTTTTTGTTAAAGTGTAGATAAAAACAGTAGTAGCTGTTCAGTTCCATTCATTTGTTTTAATTAGTGGGGGATTACCTTTCATTAGCCCCACAGCTCCAGAGCAAAACTAACGAATAAAACCTCAAACACCAGACATGTCTTGGTGGATCGACTACATTTGGGGTAAACAGGAAACTGTCTATATCTTTGGTGGAACTGTTACTTTAATGCCTCTGTATCTCCTCCTCTCCCCCTCTCAGCACCTGGAGCAGGAGAAGCATGAGCTGCGGCGGCGATTGGAGAGCCGTGAGGGTGAGTGGGAGGGCCGCGTAGCGGAGCTGGAGACAGATGTACAGCAGCTGCAGGGCGAGCTAGAGAGGCACCAGATGCAGCTGCGCGAGGCCGACCGGGACAAGACCCGCGCCATCACAGAGCTGTCGGAACAGAACCACCGTCTGCTGGAGCAGCTCAGCAGAGTGAGTGAGATACGGATGGGGTCGACTCTGGGGGCATATCTTAAAAATAAAAATGGTTCTTTGGAGCGATAATACAGAACATGTTGTCAGACTCAAGTCCTGGTGGGCCACAACACTGCAGACTTCAGATTTCTGCCTCATTAAACACATCTCATTCAACTCTTCAACTAATTAGCAAGGCCTTTTTGAATTGAATTTAAAGCATTAGAAAAGGGAAAACACTCATCTCTGCAGAGCCGTGGCCCAGAAGGAACCCAGTTTGTCACACCTGCCATAGGACAAATCAGCAATACGTCACACACACGCCCACGTTATCTATGCCGCTTACCCTCCTGGGTCTCTCATTGGGCAGAAAGCAGAAAACACCCTGGACAGGTCACCAGTCCATCACAGAGCAGAGCATCATGTTACAACAGCAAAGAAATTACTTTTGTACTAATGCTGACAGTTAACCAAGATACTGGATAAACAGAAAGTTTTCAGTGATCTTGTGAATGAATATCAGAATACTCAGATAGTGTGTACCAAGGGTGATTCTTGGATTTCACCATTACGGAGGCTCAGCCTTTTTTTTATATTCAGCAATCCAAATTCCCTGTTTGTCAAATCCATTAAGTGTTAATTAGTATAGGAATGCTGGAGACTATTGTCCACCTGTTGACTAGTAGGAGTGGCTGAGGTAATGTAACAAGCGATTTGCACAAACTAAACGACTTGTTTCTCTTGAAATGTTAAACTGATTGCCGTTTCGTGATGCGATTTTTAAGCCACATGTCGTCTGAAATCAGCTGTGGTTTTGTTCTTGGTTTAATGTCTTTTAGTAACATCAGAATGAGTGGAGCCCTGTGGTGCTGTGAGATCCTGATCAGTGCTGGGAGTTTGAGAGTGGTTTACTGTTTATTATTATATGTCAGTTTTTACATGGTCATCTGTCTTTGGTATTCTATCCAATCGCTGTCCTGTGTTTGTCAATCAAATGTGTTAATTCACCCCAAAGGAGGTCTTGCTTATTTTTAAGCATGAGACAAATTTGAAAAGGCCTTTTCTTGATGCCCAAATGGCTGCATAAGCTTCTAGTCCTTAACATATGCTATCAGGACTTTCTGCATAAGCAATAATCACAACATCGCCACTGCGTAAGTCGTTAGCATGTTATGGAAAGCTTTCAGTATGTCTCAAACCCCAGAATCTCAGAATGAAGGGAAGAACTTGTTTGTTTTGTTTGATGGTTGTTTACAGCAGCACTGCAGTAACAGCAAAAAGGAAAATATCACAAAATGTCAGGATTTTTGTTTGTTTGGGAAAGAATGGATTTGGGAAAGAATGAGATTTTTAGGGGGCTGAGATAAAAAACACAGTCCCCCTTAAATAGGGTCTAGAATTGCCCATAGTGTGTGCCTCTAAATATCCGCAGTTTGCCAAACTAGATGCTCCTACGTCCTGTGTCGTCGTTGTTTATATTAATAAGCTTGTATGCTGCTAAAGCTGTTGTTGTCCAAACTGGCCATTATTTTTAAACTGATCTTCCCAGGTCGATAACTTCACGACGTTGCATGGTTAATATTTGTTATATATAATAATAAACATGCACTACAAGAGATAGCTGGAACCATTATAATATAACTATGATTAACAATTTAATTGTCTTTTTGGTCATTTTATGCCACTGTAAAGCATGTAATTTGGGTATATAGCAAGCATATATCGGTTTGCTAGCTCGATAAGTTCAGCACCCCACTGACCATATGCTGGTCCACCCTGGCACCACCTAGATTGTTGTCCTGCATATAGGTCGAACTAGATTTTAATCTCCTCAAACAGATTTTAAATGCACAACTTTTATTTTTTGAAAATAAATGAAGTCAAATACCACAAACTAAAAAAAATACAAAAAATTTAATGACTAGGGCTATTATACATTGATTATGTTGAAAATGTTGCTGAAATGTTGGTTCTAGATTTGTTACCGTTGCAAAATCGGCTTTACTTATGATATTACTGTTAAAGTTATTTACTAAACTGATTTAGAAAGGATAATGAAAGAAAAAAGGAAGGAAAAAATTAGAAAATTGCACTGTGAGTGGAAAATCAGTGATTAAAAGTGGCACTTTGTCTAATACTCTGCTTAACCACCAGTGGGCCATCCGGAAAACACCAGCTTTGCCCTCAGGCCAGCAATGTCCTGCTATCCTCTTGCTAGCTGGGTATTAGCTACCTTGCATTCTAGTTAGCTTAACTTATTGGTTGATGTTCTACACACACACTCACACAAATGTGCACAGTTACACACAACCATGTGCAGAATCAAGCAAAGCTTATAATTTTCTCTGTTGAGTGTAAAATTATGGAGGCTAGCATAAATGCTAGTAGCGTTAGCATTAGCGTCCTATCTAGTTTATGTCACCTGATATCGAACATTTTACAGAGTAACAAGTTGACACATCAAAATACTTTTCTAGGTCACACTTTACTATCACTACATCAAATTATTGTTAGTGTAGTAGTGCTTGGTGACTTCATCATCACCAGAAGAAGCAAAAGATTCGCAAAAAAATTGTCACTTGCTTCAGCTGTAACCCTGACAGGGATTAATATGACTTATAGCAGCACTACCTGTTTTTGAAAGCTGAAAAAAGGGGAAAAACTTAAAGAAAACACATGATGTGCTTGGTACATTTGATATTACAGCCTAAAACACAAGAAGATTTTTTCCATTATTCACTTATTCTGTTTAGTATTTACTGGGAAATTAGCTGCTTCCAAGCTGACTGGATGCAAGTTATCCACCTGGAAATGTATCCACCCTATGTTTTTACAAACTTTCTGTTTTGGTCTATAGAAGAGCCAGTTTTGGATCTCTAAGGAACCTTTCAATGGATGATTTTTAAAGAATAATTTTTGCAAATGACATGTTGGTGTGAGGAACCTTTTTAGACCTTAAAGAACCCAGCATTTTGGAGCTATTGTTTTTTAAGAGTGTAGTGGATTGTCCTGAAGCTGAGAGGAACCATGAGTGTGAGGAAACCAGGGCTAGCCAAGGACAAGAGAGGGAAGGCTCAATCTAAAGGGAGCTTCAGTGATTTTCAGCCAGTCAGGGAGCTTCAGTGATTTTTGAAAATTTTGAAAAGTTACATTAATTGATAGAGAAGTGTTGGAGAGAAAAATGTTGTGGCTAGTTTGGAAGTTGTCTAGCTATATTGTTTTGTAGTGGTCACTCTTGACCAAGAGTCTGAATCCTGATCAGTGTTAAACTGAGAGTGTTAGAAGAGGGAAAACATGAATCTCTGCAGAGCTGTGGCCCAGAAGGAACTCATTTGATACACCTGCTGTGGAAGAACTACTTTTTGGTTCCCTAAAGAACCTTTCAATGGAAGGTTTTTTAGAGAACCATGTTTTGTAGATGAGGTGTCCGAGCTTTTTAAAGTTTGAAGCACCTCCACCAAGGATTTCCTTACAGCTGTACGCCCAAGCCATGAAGCATTTAGGAGCCTTTATTTTCAAGCGTGTAGTAGATTGTTATGGAGCTGAGGGCCAACTGAAAGAGAGGCAAGGTTGGAGTACCTTTGAGCTGTAGTGCATTTTGGAGGTTTTGTCGGTTTAAAATTTAGCATACCAAACACCTTCAATTTTCCTTAAAGTTGAGATAAGACCAGCTGAATATTTTATGCATTCATTCAAGTGAATAATTGATTATGTTTGGCAGAAAAAATCCCATATAGGTTGTTAGTTATTTAGCTGAAGTCACGGGCAGGTGGGAAACAGCCATTCTCCATGCAATGAATAAATTTCATGGCAGTGGCACAGAGAAAGCCTCGACCACTTTCTCAGACAGCGTCACCTCATACAAACTCATCAAAACTGAACTAGAACATTCCATTTGGGACACGTTCATTTAGCATCACAGCACAAGCCAAGCAACCAAGCCAACCCTTTACATAGTCCCTACTAAAGTCAAGCAGGGAGACGGTGGAAGTGTATCCTGAATTATCCTTAATGTCCCTTTATAAACTGTAACAGAAGGATGACCTGGTGCAGGGGTTTAATTGGAATGGTTGTAAGAAGTGCATTCTTTACTAGCTACTGTTGCTAGCTTAGACAAGTTTAGAGCATTGGAAAAAATCTCATTCAACCTAATGAGAAATCATAGCAAAGTTTGTTTACGGTCTCTACATAATATTGAGTTTTCAGTTTAAATACTAAGCGACCAAGTTGGACTATGTTGTTTAAGGTACTCAAAACTAGGCAGGTTGAAAACAACAACAATACATTTACCATCATGTTATTTAGCTCAGTTACATACACACACACAAAATACACCTGATCTATCCTAATAGTGTGACCTTTCACATGCAAATGCACTCTAGTTCAGATATTTCTGAAGTTGTGCCCCAAAAAATGTCTCATCATCATGGGATTTTTGCAGAGGTAGGTAAAGTAGCCCAAATCTATACACCAGCAAAAAAGTACCTTCCCAAAAAACAACTTGAGTAGATTTACAAAAGTATCAGGTAAAAAACTACTAGATAGACAGATAGATAGACAAACAGACAGACAGCCAGACAGATAGATCACTTTATTAATCCCACAGGGAAATTCTTCTATTGCAGCAGTACAAAGTAAAACAACAGCAAAATGAACAGGAGCATTGTCGTACACTATTTACATATATATAAAAAGAAAGTAGAGATAAATAATAGAATAAAATATACTAAAACAATAAACAGTAAAAGTAATGTGCACTACAAAAATACAAAGTAATTGCATGAATACTATGCAGGAGACAATGCGGTGGTGACTGTCCCTCCAGTGAATGAACTACTGACTATGGACTGTAGCAAAAAATGTTAACGGTTGTACAGATTACCTTTAACATTATGACATTTATGGATGTATAAACAAAGTGACAGTGCAGTGTGCAATATTAGTGGACAAATAAACAAAATAAACAAAGTGGCAGTGCAATATGAGTGGCTCAGTGTACAATAATGTCTCGGCACAGT